TCTTTTTTTTTTTTTTGTTTAGATTTTCCAGAAATCTTTTTAATCTTCTTTCCCTTGTGATTATTCACCATCTTCCGATCATAAGTTGTTCGTTTGGTCCAATAGCCCCATCATCTTCTCATTTTCTTTTAATATAATTCAACTTCCAAAAGAAATTTCAAGACGTCACGATTTAGGGATTCTTAATCTTCTCTTTTTTATATTATTTATTTTTATTATCATCACAGCATAAGTTTGAAGAACACCATTAACTGTTTTCTCTCTGTGGGGCAGAATAGAATTACTATATAATTTTTAGCTGCTGCTTCATAGTTGTTTGGTGATGTTAATTTTTCAGTAGTCAGGAACATCTGTGGTGATGTGCTATTTTCCTGTTTCCTTTTGATACTTTATATGTATTCAAGTTCAGGTGGAGGGCCCTTTTCCTGATTACTTTTCTTTTATGCACTCTTACATGCCAGTATCTTCTTTGGTTTCTAATTGAGAAAAGCTGAAATCTTTTTCAGCGGAAGTGGAAAAATGATGTTCATATGGCCATAAGAGATTGTTACAGTGCTAGGAAAATAGATAATTCCTCTTTCAGAGCACATTACTACATGTGTGAAGCTCTATCACAGGTACTTTTTATGTCATTCCGTGCTACCGCTTGCTGCAGTTTTCTTTCTTTGGCAACTATGTCTCGTACAATTTTTTTTCTCGTTTAAGATAAAATGATGAGTGTCAAAGGTTATTAGTGTACTTTTGCAGTAAAATCGTTTTGTTTGTTTGAAAGTGTGTATGTATCAACGGTATTTGAAAATTTTCTGAATTTTGATGTTGGTCTTCCCCCCCCCCACCCCACCACCCACCGATATAAATATATATGTTTTTTTTTTTTTCCCCCTTCAATGAATAACACTCCTGAAGAAGTTGGATTTGCATATCCAACTTCTGTAAAACGTTACAAGTTGTGGGGATAGAATCAATCCTTCTTTTTTCTCATTTTCCTTTCTTCTCTTGCAGCTAGGTAGACATAAGGAAGCCCTGGATTTTGCCTTTGCTGCTCAGTGTTTGGCCCCATCTAATCCTGAAGTGGCAGAGAAGGTGGAAAGCATAAAGAGGGACCTCGCTGCAGGTAAATGATAGTCTAGAACTTGTAATTAGCGTGGTTTTTTTAACTAAGGATGGATTGAAGTCCATAGTAACATTATACTGCTGGGCAGATTGGAGAGATCTCTTTATGATTGAAAATGCTTTTTTTTTTTTTTTTTGTGTGTGTCTGATAAGGGTATATGTTTTTGCTGGGAAAATTGGAAAGATATTCAACTTGTTTCAACAGTTTTGCATCTTGCCATCTTCCTTCTCATTTTTGGCTTTTGATTTATTTGATTTTATATTATAACCAGCTGAATTGGAAAAATCAAATAAAGACAATGATGGAGCTATAAGATCAGCACCGTTAGGTGGTGTATTATCATTAAGTGACCTTCTTCACCGCTCAGATGCAAACAGTGATGTTTCACAAGATGGGGTGAGATCAGAAAGAGAAGATTCTGACTATGATGACGAGGTGGAGCTGGACTTTGAAACCTTATCAGGTGATGAAGCCCAAGATGTCGATTCTAACGTTCTACATGGAAGTGTAAATCTTAGAATACATAGACGAGTTGATCCAGCAATAGAAAGGGTTGGCGCGAATGGCTCCTGTGGGTCTCCTTCATCGTCACACAATGATGGAATACTCTATCAGGTTCTAGTAATACGTTGACAGAATCATCTATACATTTACCTTTAGTTGATGATGTCTTCATTCCGACTAAGCTTTGTGTTACATTACATGCAGCCTGAACCTGTTATTGATATGAAGCAAAGATATGTTGGTCATTGCAATATCGGAACTGATATTAAACAAGCTAGTTTTCTCGGGCAAAGAGGTATTAACTGAACCATGGGAATGGCTAATTGTGTTACAAGTTGATTAAATTTTAGGTCATGTGACCTCTTTAGAGTGGGTCCTATATGGGGGTGTGAGATGGTACCATTATTTCCTATGCCGTGATTTTTGTCATAGGAGCCCAATTTTTTACAGACACAGCCATGTTTATTGCAGGTCAGTCGTTTCCTTGTTTTATATATCGTCCCAATTTCTCTACGAGGAAACTGCAACCTCTCTTTTCCCTATAGAATTCTTGAACTTTTTTTCCTCCAAATCTCCTAAAGAATAGCTTTGAACGTTAATGGATTAGATTGAATTGTGCTGTAAATGATGGTGTATTGCAGTGTCGGTTGAAGGGCGACGTCTTCGTTTGTGCTAGGAAGAAAGAGGAGGGGTTGTAAAATATAATTGCCAAATTTGGTTTTTAGAAACAAGCATAGGTCGTTAAAATGATAAATGCTTGTGATAACTTGGATGTTGATACTCTGTAAAATGATATTTGCAGGTGAATATGTTGCCAGTGGAAGTGATGATGGGAGATGGTTTATTTGGGAGAAGAAAACTGGTAGACTGATTAAAATTCTTGTTGGAGATGGAGCTGGTAAATACCATCCAAATAATTTTATAGATGAATAATTCGTTTTCAATTACCGAAACCGAAACTGAAGAACGAATTTTCTCTTCATACACTTTCAGTTGTGAATTGCGTCCAGAGTCATCCATTTGATTGTGCCATTGCTACTAGCGGGATCGATAATACCATTAAGGTACGTATGTATGTACGAGTGTTGACAATTCCATAAATGACCTTTTTTTTTTTTGTTTGTTTCGGAGCTGTTTTGGTAGGACGTACTAAACCCACTTTGTACCACGCCATCGGGTGGCTTGCCGAATGCCTCATCTCTCTTATCTCTTAGTTATTGATGACCTCCTCCTTTGTTATCACAGCTATGGACTCCAACTGCTCCAGTCCGATCAGTTGTAGCCGGTGGAGCGATAGGACCGCAGGCTGCTGATGTGTTGGCTGCAATAGAGAACAATCAGCGCAGACTCTGCCGTAATAGAGAAGCCATACTGTAAGCCTCGTGGACTCCTTGACCTTCATAATATAGGATTTGTTAATTATTATCTGCATTGTTTTGTTGGTCTGTTTTTTTTTATTAAAAAAATTTATTTAATTAATTAATTAATTCAAAAACACTAAGCTTTCACGGAGATAGATGAAAGAATGTAATTATATATGGAATCTTGATAGTAATTAACTTATCAGAGAATGTTTACCGTACGAGTTCCGCTATCATTATACATGGTACATATAAGTTTTCAATATCCTAAATAGCCTCTTTAGGAGATTTGGACCCATTCTCCAGAATCTTTAGGCCAACCCAACCCCATTGCTCTTATCAGAAATAAGATTAGAAATCGAACGAGGTGTTTCCCTAATCACAATATATCGAATACGTGGAAATCTTTCCCTATGTTCAACTATGTTGGTACGTATGTTAATGTTCATATTTTCATTGTGCGTGGTGCTGGCTGCGGGCAGGCCTTTTGAAATTTTAGAGCGGTTTAGGATGCATGATTTCTCAGAAGGAAGCCTTCATCCATTTGAATGTGCTCAGAGTTGATGATATGTAGGATGCACGCAGGTAAGTGTGACTATGTTTTTGTTTTTTGAAGTTTTAGTTAGTGTTAAAAAAAAAAAAACCATTATATATATATCTCAAGTTTTTTTTTCCTTTTTAGCACCACAATTTGCGTGTGCATCTTTATCTCATAAATTATGTACAATCTTTGAATCTTTATTATTTTTTAATGTTTTTAATTTTTGACAGAAATTGGAATAGTCATAGTTGGTGGAGTAGCAGTTAGCACACCGAACATTTTGTTATAACGGACACTCCTATGAGAAGTCTCGTTCAAGCTCTCTCTTAATATATATAGAACATTTACCAGCCAAGCTAGTACTGTTCAATTTTTGTTCTATTGCCTTGTAAATTATTGTAAATTTTGCTGCATTTTTTTTCCTTTGACAATTTGGTGTTTTTGCCATTACAATTTCCTTGGTTATTCTCTTTTTTTTCTTTCTTCTATATGCGGTATTAATGTTGTAATGTACAGAATAAGATGAAGCAGGAAGCGGGCAAATCAAGTTCAAGTATGTATATCATGTTATCTTGTCTTTCTTCCCATTTCGAGTATGCATTTTTAGATAGATTATGACTTGTGAGTGACTAAACTAATTAATAACTGATAATTTGCCTTTTTTTAATTAAAAAAATTATTGTATAGTAAATAATTTCAACAGAATCAAAGAAAACGATACACATATTTACAAAAATCACACTTTTTTTTATAATAAAAATTAAAAAAACATCTCTAAAAATTTAAATATATCTGGCCAGTTTAAGGAAATATTTCAAGAAAGTAAACCAATCAAAATAACTAAACAACTAACCTACATTCCATTTGTCTAACATTCCTGTTAAAAAAAAGTTCACTGAAAAATCTTAATTTTTTATGATTATGTGTGGATTCATTTTGATACTAAAAATAATGGTGTTATCTAGTTATAGATTTTGTTACTAGTATTCACATTTACTAGGCATAATTTTTCTAAATGATATCATCTGACATATTTCGAATGTTTTCCCATACGGAGTCGTCCTCCCATTAGTGTTCTCTCTCTCTTCATTTACCACATTGATTTAATGTTAATATTGTACTTAATATGGCCCTGTTGAAGTGATGAGGAATGATAATGAGAAGGTGAATAATGAAACCTCAGGTGGGTGGAGTAAGGATTGAGATAGCATGTCCAAGTGTTAATAATACAATACATGCTTCAGAAATTGTACACATCCTATAAAATTTCAGACTCCCTATTGCTTCCACTGGTTGAGCAAGATCACACTGTTGTGCGGGAAGACTTATCATTAGTTACTGCAGGAATGTCCTTTACTACCCCTAAAGAAGGAAGAGCTTCCTGTCCCTCCTACGTGGCATTCAATAAGCCACATTTCTGGAATGGACTTATTGAGAATTGTCAAAGATTTGGTTCATAATAATATTTTAGTACATTCCCTATTAAATTCATCTGGTTCATCTTCCGTATTAGTACATTCTTTCATATTAATACGTGAATCATCTTGATTCATGTATAAGCATTAATGTTGCTTTCATTCATGAGAATTGGTATTGCTACCACCAGATGTGAAGAGGAAAACTTATCATTAATTACTGCAGGAATGTCCTTTACTATCCCTAAAGAAGCTTCCTGACCCTCCCTAGCGGTATGAAGCCAGGTTTCTTGAATGGACGACCATATTATTTCTTCCTAGTGAGGTAATAGAGCCTCTCAGGCGGTTCTTCAGGCTAAATAATGTTCCACCAGATCTGGGCATTGGATATCAGTAAACAAGAGAGATTAAGAGGAGGCAGGGGTCGTAGAGGTGGCATTAAAAGCTTTGATGACATCTGTGGGTCTTGCTGTCCGTTGGAGGGTTGATGAACTAAGAGATCCAAGAACATTATTATCCTTTCTCTAAGGTCATTAATAGCAAGGGGATCGTTGTAGGTAATCAATCTTACAAGAAACTTTTGTTTTTCGTGATTCACATGGGAGGTGGTCTAGGCCATTGATGAGAGGGCTAAAAACCGAGTAGGATTCTTCTCTTCCCCTAAAAATGATAATGTTTCTTTCTTTCTAATCAGAGGAACTGGTGTTCTATTATTTGTTATTTATCAGCAATGTGAGGTCGGCAATAAATGCCGAAATACAATTCATGGACAGAATTCTCATATGCTAATTAATGGCACTGTCTCTAGTTAGTGATTTTGATATCAATTGAGAGTGATATGGAAATTGATGATCATGACCATGGAAGATGCTGTACAAGTACAGCTTGGAGGCCCCTCTCTCCCCCTTTTCTCATAGTGAAGAAAGAAACTTGAATTTGTGAGGGGTGTGAGTGTAATATCTCACGTTAGTTGGGTTGGGGGAGGAAAACAAAATATTTTTTATTTATAAGAGGGTAGAAATCTCTACCTAGCAGACGTGAGGAAAACTTGAAAAGGAAAACACAAAAAAGACAATAGCTGCTAATGGTGTGTTTGGGCCGTTACAAATGATATTAGAGCCAAACATCGGACAATGTCAATGAGGAGGCTGAACCCCGAAGGAGGTGGACACGAGGCGGTATGCCAGCAAGAATGTTGAGCCCCTAATTTGGATAAATTTGAGGGTCCCACATCGATTGGAGAAGGAAATGTATGCCAGCAAGGACGTTGAGCTTCAAAAGGGGGTGGACAATGAGATCCTTCCTCGATTGAGGAGGAGAACAAAACATTATTTATAAGAGTGTGGAAACCTCTCCTTTGCATACGTGTTTTAAAAATTTTAAGAGGAAGCTCGAAAGGAAATCTATTACTAATAAACTTCAAAGATGTGGTGGAGGGGGAGAGAGTATATAGTTGAGAGGGCATCGGAGGTTTTTAAATAGGTGAATTTGTGGGGTCAATTATTTGATGATTTGTCACATCCCTGCGTTTGCATTTTAAAGCAGCCATTCATTATGAGTGGGCTCTATCCATCTCTCTCTCTCTCATTATTAGGAGCTTGGTAGTAAGGAGGTAAAAGCAATGCTATCATCACACAGTGAGTGGGTTCTGACTGTGCATCTGTGGCATTGAATATGTGGGGGAAGCAAAGCTGAGCCTTTGCTTTCTTGTCTAATCTTATGTTGTCAACGCAAGTTGGCGACAGACCCTATGTTCACCTCTCCCATTCTACTTCTACCCTTTCACTACATCCTCTCTCTCTCTCTCCAGTTGGTTGGAATTGCTAAAGGATAAGAATTCAAGTTCCTAAAAGCCAATAATGGAAATGACCTTTTTGCCTCCCTTAATATCCAACACCCTAATCACATTATAACTAATCCCAGAGAATCGTTTGAAAGAGAACAACAATAAAGAAGCTTCCAGATTTCATTTTGCTAAGATTTTGTTTTTCCACTACATTTTTCGTTTTCCCATGGGTAATTAAAGTTTCAAGTTAAAAATGACTATGAGATCTAATAGAAATATGAAAATGAGTTTCAACCTATTTTTTTAGGTTAACATGTGTTTTAATCTCTGATGTTTTAATTTTTTTAGTTTAATTTCTATTCTATAGAAAAAATTAATGTTTTAACCTTTTTCAATTATGCAACTCTATCTCTTTTGAAAATTTAAATATGATATGAACCTACTAATATAATATCATATGAAACCCTATAAAGGAATTCTCCGGAAGAAATGAAATTCTTGAATTGGAAATATTTACCTTCCACTGAGAAATTCCACGATGGCAAGAAGCTGTTTCCATTCCATCACATCTGAGGAAGTGATTCTCCTTTATGCGCTAATTTATGAAGTCTGCATTCACCAAAGTAAGTCTCTGCCACTAATTGGAGCAATGGCGCTATCGTTTCCCAATTCATCCACCTTTACGTCCTCAATATAATATGAATCTATTCGTTTCTTTTTCAATCTTCATGACCTGCGTTTTAATAAGTTACAACTTACGGCAGCTCATGTGACATATTCGACTTCATGAAGAGGGTGAGCCACTAAATCCTGAAATAGAAAGCGGGAGTCATGTAATATTGTTTCCCATGCAGAGACGTACCTGAAAACAAGAAACTTAACAAGAGTGTAAAGGGAGAAAATGAAATAGGAAGTATTAAATTGAGTTAAGAATTTAGATATGAAGTTTATAAACACATTTCGACTCAGACTTTGTTGATCTACATAGATTTGTTTATTTATTATTATTATTTTTTTAGCTATTTTTTAGGATTCAAGTGTCAATGTCCAATAATAGAAAAAAGAGTGAATGAGACTCATTTCCCCTCTTCTATTACATGGTCTGATGCACCCTTAACATGATGTTTAGATGGAGCCTTTATGCAATGAAAAAAATTGAATACATACAAAAGGAGCTTCTATTTTCTTGAATGAAACCAATATCTACCATTGGATTAAAAAAAGTATTAGTAGAAATTACATATTTAATTTGCAACAGCATTAAATGAATCTACTTTTCACAAGTAGAAAACATAGAAACCAAATGATTATCAACAACTCCCAAACATTAGAACCTACTAAAATTGATATTTTATACATTAAAATGATAATAATGTTGAAAATCTCAACCAAAGAAAAAAAAATAAAAATCACATGCCGACCTTAACATAATTTTATTGGTTAAACATATTGTAGATTCTAATTCCTTTCCACTATTTTTTCTTGCGATGTAATATTTTAAGATAACAATAGAGGATATTTCTAATATTTTTTTAACTTAATCAACTATACGCATGCAAGGGCTAACAACCCTCACTCATTACGTGGGTCATACTTGCGATACAAGAATGTCTTTTAAAGCCGAAGCTTAAAGTGGTTATAAAACTCTTGTAATTCGCAGTGTGTGGGCAATTTCATTCAATCTCAAGCTTAGTATTCGAATTTTATTGATTTATTCTAGTCCGAATAGATCAATCAAATTTTCTTTATGAGCTCCTTGTTTTAAAAACAATAATAATAATAATAAATAAATAAATAATGAAACATACGTCTTTGTAAGCTGCAGATAATTCTAACGCTATTAGAAGTGTCAATGGATACTTAACTCTCAGTATGCTTCCAACTCCCGTATGCCTTGCGGCTCTGCACAATGCGTCATTGGCCTGGGACCCTAAAACGTTCAGAAAAGTTTTGTTAGTGTTTTCTACTCAATTTTAATTGACGAATCTTCTAAACTTGCCAGACTTCAGAGCCTTTCAACTTAGCATCTTTCCTTGCTATAAAACAAAAAGAGCAAGAGCCGTATGTAAAATATGAAGTTTCCATGCTAAAGGATATGATTACGCACCTGTGATTAGCATTTTTTTACATTATGGGTATCAATGATAGCTTATTTTGTCCAGAAGAAAAATTATAGCTCAGTTCATCGTCTAGTATTTTGTTCCACTCCATGCCCCTATTAATACAACGTAAATCACAAAAAATCAATAGAGAAATTAATTTAAAATTCCACAAACCATGACATCCTCCAATGCAAAATTTTTGACGTTCTTTAGCACCCTCACCTACAATCAACTGCTGGGCAATATTAGTTAATTCCATTTATGATGGTAGAAATCTCAACGGAAATTCATCACAAACTGAATTTAATACCCTTCTATGCTCAAATTTTAATTGTACCTTGCTATGCTCTTGACGGGTTATAAAATCCTAACCGATGATCAACTAGTAGACAACAGAGGCAACTTCCATTTATGATGCTGAAACTTTTAACTCATGTTCATCATGAACTGATTTTGAGATTCCAAATACTATGACATTCTCATTGTAGCTTTCGGACACCTGACAATAGATAACATCCTCTCTAAAGACCAACCACTAGGCCATTCTGATAATTTGACTTTATTTATGACGGGGGGGAATTGATCCCTGCCCATCATGAACTGAATTTCAGCAAAACTTCCTTTAAAATTTTTCAGAGCACTACTAAAGAATACATCCACCCGTAGAGCAGAATGCATAGTCCACAGAGGTAACCTGTCGTGTATTTCTCTGCGGGTTGATCTCTACTTGTTCATGGGGAGTCTTCCTAGAAAAGTTACCTATCAACATTGATTTGTTATTTGACTCCTAGAAAAGTTACCTATCATATAGTTCATCAATGAATTAGGAAATAACAAATCAGCATCTAAAAGACTGTATTACTCGACTCCTAGAAAAGTTCTACCTACGCTTAATCTAAAGCTAAGCTTTATTATATAGTGAAGTAAGAGTTCCAATAAGTGGTGATCTCACTCCATTTTGAAAAGTAGCCTAGTCAGGCGAGAATGGAGAGGGGGAAGAGGTGGACGTCTTACAGGCTATGGAGCAATGTTATGCTAAACTTTAGTAGCAACAACTCCTTGAGCATCTCAAAGACACTTGCAAAACCACAAACACGCATAAATATGTTTCGGATGTTTGACTTCAAAACATTTTGAGTGTTCAGTTTTAAGGCACCTTCAAAATGACAACTGTAGTATTGTATCTTTGAACAGGTGCACATAAAAGTATGTACTTCGTATTGTAGATTTGATAGCAAAGCAACAAGAACTGGCAAAACAACATGTATTTAGATGTATTCACTCGATCATTTTCTTGGAATATGTTAGAAGCTATAACCACCGTCTTGATTTCAAGATTGAATTTCTGTCATGTAAAAGATACTAATTAACAGAAAGGAAAACTTCCAAATCCTTATTCTTGTAAGTTTGCATTTCAGAACCTTCCTCCTATCTAATAATAAAATATTTAGGGACATCTGGAAAACGATTGTAGCTCAGCCTTTTCTTTTACTAGTTAATTTTCTGTTTTATGAAAGCTAGTCCACACTCGAGTCTATTATGGAGAACTGATGGACAAATTAACAACAAAAGCCAGGAAATCAAGCAATTCAGACACCAATGAGAAAAGTAATCAAATGTACCTCGTAAAAGCTCCAAGACGCTCGCCATTTTCATACAAGAGAGACTTTTCGCCACCACACAATGCAAGTTTTGCAGATGACGATCTTATGTTCTCATAACTGGCCAGCAGATGCAAACAGGTCACGTTAGAAGCCATCATTAGCTTCTGTTCTGATACATTCTCGCATGTCCACCGGAAGAATTTCCCGCAACGAGCGTTCGTGAGAACTTCAGCTCCTCCTGTAATTCTTCGCAAGGCGGCATTAGCAACACTGTGCCCTGTGT